TTTTCACCCCACATTTTCTTCATTGCTGCAGCCTCTTCTCATTTGGTAACCTGAGGGAATGAAAAAGACAAAGACGGGTCAGTCTCTGTTTGTAGTTGTTGAATAAAACATGGAGCAATAACATCCTTGTATCAGGATGTTTCATTTTGATTATTATAACTCAGGACCCATTGAGCCATCTGTGTGGTGCTGCTAGTGAGGTAAACCAACCCCCATCCTCACACACACACTGCAACCAGAGCTTCTGTAAGCTTCGCACAGCTGCCCCACTGACATCACAATATGTGTCTGTCACAAACTTGACAATTATTTTATTCAGTCTCATTTTAATTTGGTAGAGAGAGGAAATACAGAGTACAACAGTACTGTAAGATGATATCTGGCTCATGCAACATAACTAAAAATGTTAACTACTAGAGCATTATGCTCAGATAATCGCAAAATCATGACGTTTACGGAGCATCCAGGGTCTTGTTTGGGATTTGTCTATCATTATGCCACAAATAATCTGGCCTAGAAGCTCCTCTACTATATTAAACAAACCATTGTTTTCTTCATTGTGTCATAACACACACTAATACCCAGTGACAATTCAGTAATTATGGACCTGACAAGGGGATTGACTTTTTTATTTAAACCTGCAGATTTATGTAATACAGCCCTGTTAATTTCACATGGAGAACGCTTTATCTGTGCAGTGCAGACTGTTGTGGTTTGGGTTATTGCAGCTCCAGAGGGCTCTTTGGACTGATCTCATTGGGACTATACGCTACTACACCTACTGTTCAGAAGTTTTCTCCAAAAAGTTATTGATTCACACATTAAATTGATCAGAAAGACATTTAGAATATTCTAAAAGATTGCAAAATTCATCAAAGAATCCTGAAAAAATGGATCATGGTTTCCACAAAAATATTAAGCAGCACAGCTGTTTTCAACATTGATAATAATAAAAAAAAATGTTTCTTGAGCTCCAAATCAGCATTTTATTTCTCAAGGATTATGTGACACTCACATCTAGAGTAATGGCTGCTGAAAATTCAGCTTTGCCATCACAGGAATAATTTTACAATATATTAAAATAGAAAATGCTTAATTTATATTTCACAATGTTACTGTTTTACTGTATTTTTGAACAAATATTTGTAGCCTTTATGACCATAAGAGACTTAAATGAAATTAAATGAATAAATAAATAATCAGTCTTACCAACCACAATTTTTTAAACGGTTGCATACTCCTATCAGCTCTTATTGAATAGAATATGTATTAAGGAAATCCAAACATGTTAAACTGCCCAAAGTGTGAATGGCTGAAGGACATATCTTGTTGTGGTAACATGTTAATTAGAAGATGTTCTCTAAAGACCAGCTTTTTATGGAGAAGACTCTCCCATTTTGTCATCATGCCATTATCTGTCCACTAGATTTAAGCGCTCACTATGCAGTATCTCTTGCAGATAAGCACGTCCTCTATCTGCTTTATAATCCCAGGGCAGCGGTCCATTTCTCCATTGCTTTCCCTTTTCATCTCTCATTTGTTCTCTCTAATATCTTCTCATTGCTTTGGTTGCAAGCCCTTCCTGTCTGAAATCTTTAGCCCTAATCAAGGCTAATGTCACAATAGTGATTTTTCCCATACTCCCGCTGTCACATCACCGTGCCTCCTCATAATTCCTTTTCTAATAGCAGGTATGTGGGTGTCCGTCTGTTACGTAACTCTGCGGTTTCCTCTCCACTTTGTGCTTTGATCCCTATTGATCAGAGAGCTTCTCCCATTTATATAAGTGTCTGAGGCAATATGTCTTGCCATCACGCACTCATTTATGCTAATTTATATGCCTCTGACTGGCTAACCCTCAAGGCCACGGTTTACGCTGCGTCCAACCGGAGATATTTCATTGATCTCTTGTTAAACTGCAGTCAGTTTAGGCTGTTAACTTAAAAAAGAGAGGTAGTATTGCTAATTAGAAAGTGAAGGGTGCTGTAGAGGAGTAGGACAGCTAACTTGGGACAGCCTGTCTGCAGAACAAAAATACATGACCACGTTTAACGGTTACAATCCACCCTCTCAGTCCAATAGTTGGGGGACTAGTTATTTTTAGTGTACTGCTCCCATTCACATTATCCTCCACCTAAAAAACTGACAACCAGGGAAGCCTATTTTCTGATGTTGTTAGATGTTTTCTTGCTCTTTCTTTTGATGCTTTGCTGTTCTTTTAGGGCATACAAAGTCATGGTAATTATACAAACAGGCTCATAACAGTGAGTGTGAGAGGCTGATAAGAGAAAGAGGGGAAGGGGGCAGGAACAGAAGCTTGAAGAGGAGCCAGATTTGAGATTATCAGCAGATGAAATAACCTGGTCACTCAAAAAACTACTCAAAATTTGTATTATAATGAAAAGGTGATGCTACTATGAGCTCAAAGCCAATTTCATACATTCTATTCTATTCTATTCTATTCTATTCTGATGCACAAAGACTTCAATGTGTAAAACAAAGGGTAAATAAAGGTTAAGTGTGCAGCTCTGGAATTTCATAAAGGTAATATGTAATGATTTCTCCCCTTACAGTCCAGAATACCTTCTCATAAATAAGCTTTAACCATTGTATTCTCTATTTTGAAAGATCACCAGGATAACACTTTATAACAGGAATAAGTGGGGGGCAGTGGGGGGTGGGGGTCTTTCTTGAAGACTTGCAGGAATTTGAGATCTTACCTTAACTGTGGACGGCGGTCGGGAAAGCTGGCTTACTCTGGAGAAATAAAAGAAAAAGAAAAAACTGAATAATGAGGGAAAAAATAGTGTGGATACAGTATTTGTGCAATGCTTTTCATTATTTGTACACCACACATCAGCAGGATCTCTTAATGGAGGGGTTTTCAAACTGGGTTGCTTATTGTCCTTAATGTATTTTGTAGGGTTATCAAAGTAAACTAAAGATATTAATTAAAAATGTTTAAGACAATTGTTTTAACAAATTTACCAAATTTGATGTTGTTTTGCTTGCTTTATGCTGGTTGGAAATTATGAGATTACTCTCAATTATTTTTACAGCCCTGGTGTAAGAAGTAAAAAAAGTTTTGTTTTTTTAAAGATTTGCTCAACTTACATTACTCCTAATAGTGGGTAGAACTTAATGCACATCAAATATCCTCCAGATAATATGATAAGATATATATATATATATATATATATATATAT